AACTGAAGCAAAACCTAAAATTTGTATCGCACTTACAGTTTATGAAGTGCTTCCAGGTAAATTAACCTGGATGAGTCCTCCACACTGTGATGCAGACATTATTTACTCTGTTTTCTTGATAGAGAAGCCAAAACTCCATTGCTTAATTCATAGAGCTGCAGATTCAACATGAATCTTTTCATTTCACAAAGAACGACTCTGTGTTTTCCCATTATAACATAACTGAACTAGAAACTAAATAAATTATCAATACTTCTAGGCAACTTCAAAGGAGAGTTCTGTGAAGAACAGAGCCTTGCTCTTCCAGGAACTAAACTGGACATTCTTTCCATCTGATCAGAGAAGTTTTGTTGCTGAGGAATAATGGCTAATGAGAAGAAATATGGTTCCCTCAGGCCCCTTCACTGTGTGTGTGGGGTGGTGGTGGTGGTTATAAACATGCTTTTGTAAACTTTTATGTTTTCAGGGGTATGAAGAAATGAAGAAATCTGGAGAAGCGGATTTCCTAAGGGTTCACTTGGTTTGGTTTTAAATAGCACTTCATATGCCTTTAAATCTGCAGTTCTCAGCCTTGACGGCTCTTAGGTTACGCTGAGGGAGTACAACAAACCCCAGTGACTGGACCCCCATCCCAGACAAGTGGAATCAGACTCCCGGGGAGTGGGACAGTGGCATCAGTGAGTCTAAAGCTTCCCAGGTAACTTTACTATGCAGGCAGGACTGAGAACCAGTGGTCTAGATCCTCAAGTGGGGTGAGGATGGCCTATCTTATACCCTCCAAAGAGAATGGATCAGGTTTGACCAGAGGGTAGACCCTACAAGTCCACACACCTGCTACTGGCAAACTCTGTATTCCGAGAGACACAGTGTAGGAAGCACTGCCCTAGACCAGTCTGCACCCAGGACCAATTAAATCAGAATCCCAGTGTGGGCAGAAACCAGGCAGGAGCTAGGGTTAGAGTTTCTGAGTCTAACATGCAGCCAAGACTGAGAACCACCGCTTTAAGTGGTACCTGCTTTGTTTGGAGGAGGAAGAGAAGGCAGGCCTGCCCCCCATTAACTGCAGCGAGTGACAGTAACCTGGCAGCGGCCGACACTCGAATGATACGCACTGACTCTCCCAGATCTAGATTTATGGCCTTGGACAAACAACAGAGCCTTACTTTGGCACGGTGCCGTCCTCCCAGCACTAATTAAGGCCTAAATAATTCTCATCAGCATGTGCATAAAATAAATGGGCCTCAATTTAAGACAACTTCCCCATTGTGTCCTAGTTAATGTAATCACGGTTTATAGGTTTTCACATTCATAAATATACTAGCTTTATTTTAACAAGGAGAAAATATTTAAATCTAGATGTACCAATTTCTATGTTTTTACATGCAGTATTGGGTCACGTAAAAAGATGACATAGGTGGTGATTGATAAGAGGATAACAACATGGACTCTATTCAATCAGTAATCAATATGATTATCAGTAGTGTTTTTCAATTTAATTATTGCTTCTTATCATCATCCATTTCATTAAAGTTCTGGCAGGTACAGAGAGAAACAGGATGCAGATAGCGGTATGAAGGATGGTAGCTGAATGATAAGACTATATACCCAGAAAATGCAAAGAAATGGCCTGAGTTTATTAAATAATTTGGCAAAGCAGTGAGACAAGAGAAACATCCACCACTGCACTGCTTTCTTTAGCAATTCTGCCTCCCACCAGAAACTCTATACTCATCCCTGGACAGAAAAGAGCATGCCAGCACACGCCATCTGCTTAAGGCTCTAGTTTTGAACCTCTGGACAAAGCTATCTTTTAATAAAGTATTATTACATAAATACATATTTCTCATGTTCTGATTTGGAAACATTAACAAGTGTGAATGAAAACCAATGAAGTCTTCCTTTTCTGCCTCCAGGGACCAAGCTTGAACCAGCTGGGTGACCAACAGCTGCTGCTGAATATGGAAATTAGAAGAAGGCAAACTGGCAAAGAAGTCTAATCAAGCTGGAGCTGGCCTGTTTGATCCAATAGCTCAGAAAGGAGACCTGGGGATGTATGGATCAGAGCCAGGCTGAGGCTGGGCAAAAACACTTAGTGAACTTGGACTTGGGCAAGGTGGGTGCCATGACAGAGAGAATACAGAGCTGGCTTCATGGGCAGTCTCAGAGCCAGCAAGTTGGGGAGAAGGAGGCAACACAGGGTGCAATAGCTGGCATTTCTCCCAGAGGAAGCAAGCTGTGTTGACAAGGACTGCTCACAAGTGCTCCGGGGTTCACTGCTTTTCTTGCAGGCTGGCCTAAGTCTCAGAGAGAACTGGCCTTTGGCATGGGTAGAGAACGCTGGCTCCAGGCATAGCTCCTGACTTTAGGATGGCTCACTTGGTATTTTAAATTCCTAAGAGAGTAATGACAAAGCTAAATTCCTAGGAGAGTAGTAAAAAAAGACCTTAGCGCCTGCCAAAAATGGGATACAAGACAATAAATGATAACCATGTGATTCTTTTTTTTTTTTTAGATTAGACTTGAGCAGAGGATAAACCAGATCACACTGGTCTTGCCAACCTATCAGGCTCATGGTGGGACCATACATCCATTCCAAACCTCTACAAAGGGAGTGGGTTATAACTATCCGTGAAGACAGAACAGAGCCATAGAGAAAAAGAGAAAGCAAGACAATCTGTCTAGAAAGACTAAAAGATGTTTTAACTCCTATTGCTTCCCTCAACCCCATGTTTTTTAGATTGTGCCAAGAAAAGCAATTAAGGCATGTTTGATCTCTACCATCCTTTTCTTGATGGTCTACAGATACATTAAAATGGTCATGCCCACTCCCATATTCAGTGACTGACAATTGTTTAAAGAAATACATTTAAGTAGGGAATGCAGGGTAGCTAATAAAAATTACTGGGAAGGATATTTTATGACATGTTAAAAACAGAATGTTGTACGATTCAATTTTAGGGAAATTGGTTGAAAAGTAAATTCATTAATATTTTGCAGGATGAACCAAAATGCTAACAGCAGTCATCTCTGAAGCCTGAGATTACTACTGGTTTTGCTTTACTTTTTTTTTTTGATTTTCAAAGTTTTAAGAATCATGTGTTAATTTTCCAATCAGAAAGAGTAATTACAAGAGTTCAAGTTACACTGTGCAACACTACTTTAGACCACAAGACTTTGCTGGAGTTGGCCCCAGTGAAAATGAAAGTGAAAATTGCTCAGTTGTGTCCGACTCTTTGCAACTATATATATAGTCCATGGAATTCTCCAGGCTAGAATACTGGAGTCGGTAACCTTTTCCTTCTCCAGGGGATCTTCCCAACCCAGGGATCAAACCCAGGTCTCCCGCCTGTAAGGCAGATTCTTTATCAGCTGAGCCACAAGGGAAGTCCAAGAATACTGGAGTGGGTAGCCTATTCCTTCTCCAGGGGATCTTCCAGACCCAGGAATTGAACTGGGGTCTCCTGCACTGCATGCGGATTCTTTACCAACTGAGCTATCAGAGAAGCCTGATGTCAGGCTATAGACAAGGAGATGGGACTAAACATTTCCTCTGAGGTCACCCATCACCAGGGGATGCTACCCACTGAGGCTCCTGAACTCAAGGGGGGACAAGCACCCTTGAGGGTAGCAGTGTTCTCTCCTCTGGATAGTTTCAGGAACTCTGGAGTTGGGATTCAGCTGGGACAGATCTATCAAGTGGTCAAATCTGGAGACCCGGTGGATGCTGCTCTGATCTGAGTCTCTCCAACCAGGCAGGGGTTAGAAAACTTTTTTTCTGTAAAGGGCCAGGTAATAAATACTCTAGGCTTTGTGAACCACATGAGTTCTGTTTTAAGTACTCATTCTGTCACAGACAAATGAATGTAGCTGTGTTCCAAAATACTGAGTGGATGAACCAGTGTCCTCTCTCCCATGCTGGTGTGAATTGTATTAATCGTTGTCAGGTGACTCCTCCTGGGAACCACTCAAGCTCTGTTCCATCAGACTCCACCTTGAATGGGACCATCTGAGTGCTGCACAAATGCATCCATGTCTTCTAGAAGAATCTGTTCCTGCCAAGGGGAGGAACCTTCTGGAAGATGTTTCTAGAAGCTGTTAACATGATCAAACACAAAGTAGGCCTGGCCAAAGCTGTAAATTGATAATGTTTATGAGCCCTTAGATATTTCTTTCTGGCACTTAGGCACCTCCATAACCTCCTGCATCTTGTTTTGTATTCCCCTAGCTCAGTGAAGGCACCAAAGGGGTCACTTTGTCAGGAGACTCTCGTTCATTTCGATACAGCCTCAATTTTCATCATTCTCCACAAATGCAAAACATGTAATTGAGGCAGAAATAAACAGATGAAGCCTTGCAGCTTCTAGATACAGAGTCTTCCCTCATGGGTCCTGACGGAACTCATAGCTCAAGGTCAGGGTGAGGTTGTTGTAGGTCAAATCATCCACTCATAAAGGGAAAGGAATTTAGAAATGTACTGCTCTGACAGAAAGAGGTGGGGTAAAAGCCAGGTCAGAAGTGAAGTTTAAGCAATACTAATAAAGTTCTTGGCTGAAATTTAGTGACAGTCAGAATGCCTCATGAGGAAAACATCTTGCAGGAGGGTTACACTGATTTTTAAGGTGGGATTCTTTGGCACATATGAGTGTGTATATGTAACATATGCACAGCCCAGAAAATACGTACAGTATGCACACACACATCTGATCATATTCATCCTTCTAAGTAAATGTCAATTGTCACGGAGAAAATGTGTGTTCAATCTAATGACCAGAAACCAAATTCCAGACTCCGAGGTTCCCCTCATCCCTCTTGATCCCCGATGACAATCACTCCAGGTGACAGAGATTTCTGCATAGAGGCCCACAGAATGTACATAAAAATGAGAAGAAGAGCCAGAGCATCTCTGAGGTCCCAGGCACAGGTGGGGCTGGCTCCGTCCACGAGGGGAGAACAGTGCGGACGGGGGCGGGGCTGGGGTGGGGGGAGCAGGGGCTACTCACGCTGTCATTGCTTCCCTTGTTGTCCTCGTACTTGGTTTCTATGTGAATGGAGAATTTCGGCAGAAAGGAACACTATGGGAAGAGAGAAAGGTTTCATCAGCACACCAGTTTTTTCTCTCTTCACATCTTCAGCTTAGCCTCTGGATGCGCTCCTGGCCTTCTGGTTGTGACCACTGTCCACAACCAGAGATGTTAAGACACTAAGTCCATATCCAAATGTAAGAAAAGCCACCTTTGGCGATATGAACACAATTTCACCCAGAAGTCAGGCCAGAGAGAATAATTAGGCAATAAGACAAGTTGGCCGGAGAAGGCAATGGCAACCCACTCCAGTACTTTTGCCTGGAAAATCCCATGGACGGAGGAGCCTGGTAGGCTGCAGTCCACGGGGTCGCGAAGAGTCAGACTCAACTGAGCAACTTCACTTTCACGCACTGGAGAAGGAAATGGCAACCCACTCCAGTGTTCTTGCCTGGAGAATCCCAGGGACGGCGGAGCCTGGTGGGCTGCTGTCTATGGGGTCGCACAGAGTTGGACACGACTGAAGCGACTTAGCAGCAGCAGCCGCAGCAGCAAGATAAGTTGGTGAAGAGGACATTTCCCAAAGGAGTATATTCTATGAGTCCGGCCACAGGCTTTATAGAAAAGCAACCCTCTGAAACAGAGACAGTTCCAGTTCCAGGGTGCTTCCCTTTAGGGAGCAGCTACCACGGCTGGATACCTGGGGGCCAGCCTTAACCATTATATAAATATTCATAATAAGCTGGAGGTGGTAGAGTAGAGCTTTACGGTTATAAATTATTGAAGTCAGACAGACCTGGCTTTTAGTTTGGGGCTTATCACTTGATAGTCATGTGACTTTGGACAAGTCATTGAACTTATATGAACCCCAGCAATACTGAAACAGAGACAGTAATGATTACCTAACAGTGACATTGTGAGGGTTAAATGAAACCATGTGCATAACACATATCAGTGCTGGGTATCGAGCAAACATTTAACAAATCAGTATAAGGCTGCATGTGAACTTGACGTAAAAGACAGCCTTTCTTTTTGCCGGCACAGGGAGAAAAACTCCAAATGCACATCACCCTGACATCTTCATCTCACTGAGCCCATTCCACGTATTCAGTAGACAAAGGGTTAGTGTAGCTTGACAAGACGATTTTGATGGAGGTCGATGTGGCCTTCCTCCTGCTGGCACTGGCCCTGAGCTGGGCATTAACCTTCCTGACTTCCAGAGATAGGATCACAGACTACAGGCAAAGGACACAGCCACTTCACTGGGAGCTGCAGGTATTGGAGGAGTGAGGCTTGGGTCCATATGCTCCCAGTTCCAAGAGGTTGCCTCTTTTATTTATCCAGTGTACATAGACCTGGCACTGGTCTCAGTGCTTCCAAATTCTAATTCATTTAGTCCTTCTAACTATCCCATGAAATAGGAACTATTATCATTATCCCCTTTTTAAAATTGCAATATAATTGCTTTACAATGTTGTCTTGGTTTCTGCTGTACAACAATTCAAGCCGGCCATAATTATATGCATATCCCCTCCTTCCTGAACCTCCTTCTCCCCTCCCCCTCCACCCCTCTAGGTCATCATCACAGAGCACCAAGCTGAGCTCCCTGTGCGATACAGTAACTTCCTGCTAGCTAGCTATTTTACATGTGGTAGTATACATATGTTAACGCTACTCTCTCAATTCAATCTCCCAACTATGTCCACAAGTCTGTTCTCTATGTTTGCACCTCTATTCCTGCCCTGCAAATAGGTTCATCAGTACCGTTTTACTAGATTTCATATATATGTTTTAATATATATTTGTTTTGCTCTGATTTACTTCACTCTGTATCGACAGGCTCAACTTTCACCCACCTCACTACAACTGACTCAACTTCATTCTTTTTATGGCTGAGCAATAGTCCATTGTATATGTGAACCACCCCTTCTTTATCCATTCTTCTGTCAATGGACGTCTAGGCTGCTTCATGTCCTGGCTATTGGTTAAGTACATGGCCCACGATCACACAGCTAGTAAAAAGTAAAGTCGTGATCGATAAGTCTGGTGGCCTGATCAGTGTCCATGCTCTTGATGACGACCCCACTGGTTTTCAGCAGCACCTGTAGCAGCAGTACCCTGGAACTTCTTAGAAAGGCAAATTCCTGGAGCCAATGCCAGAGCCACTGAATCAGAAACTCAGGGCATGGGGCTCAAGCATTTTTGTTTGTCAAGCCTTCCAGCATGCTAATGCAGGTGTAAGCTGGAAAACCACCCCACTATTCCATGTATGGGAAGGAAAGAGAGAAGATGCATTATCTAAAATCCCGTGGTCCACCATACACACCCTTGCCCCACTTGGTCATCCCACAGTGGCCATGATCCCCTTTCAGCTCCACTGAGATCTCCCAAGCGGCATCTGTGCAAGAAAGCAGAGGCCTTCGATGTGCCATTGATAATTCTCCTGACATCACACGTCTGTGTGCATTCAGCGTTCATCTGTCTTAATCCCAGTGAAACAAGCAAGCTGAACCGTGACTAAGGAAACATGGAAACAATCAATCCCAGTAATTGCCTTTATGGAGAACGAAGCCTTGTGATCATTCATTAACACCTTCTTTGCTGTCTCCTCTCAAACAACCTCTCACTGCACAACTGCTGCCCTCACACCCAGACCCAGGGAGTTCTAAGGAGGGGCTGCCTGTCATGAATCAAGATGGAGCAGCTCAGAGCCCCACCACAGAGCTCTCAATAACCATGTGAACTTGAGAACATGAACCTGCAGAGACTTTTCAAAATAACAAGCTTCAGGTGAACCGATTTGTCCTTTTTTAACCCATAATTTGGCTTCTCTGGTGGCTCAGCCAGGAAGAATCCACCTGCAACACAGGAGCCACAGGCGACATGGGTTTGATCCCTGGGTCAGGAAGACTTCCTGGAGGAGGGCATGGCAACTCACACTAGTATTCTTGCCTAGAGAATCCCATGGGCAGAAAAGTCTGGCAGGCTACAGTCCATAGGGTCCCAAAGAGTTGGACACGACTGAAGCGACTTAGCACGCATGCAACCCATAATTCAAGAGGCTCAATCCAATGTGTGCACAGTACAAAGGAGCAAAAGAATGGAGCTGTCCAGGGTGGGGAGGTGGGTCTAGGTGAGTCAGAGTGGAACCTGTAAAGAGTTTTTAATCGGCTGAGTCTCTAAACCACTTAACTAAGGTCAAACAAGTGAATTTTAGCATTTGGATATTAAACCCAAAATACAAAATGCAATACTCTTATGCAAATTAACATGTTGTTATTTTTGAGTCAAGGGATTTAGGTTATTTTCATGTCAGAATAGCAACCTTGCAAGAGGCTCGAAGGGTACTTGGTTTTGGCAAGGCAGTGGGAAGACACAGATCAGACAGGCCAGCCCCAGGCTGCTCAGCTCTACCTCCTTCAGCAGTGGTTTGGGACTGATAATCCCTTTAGGGTATCAATGGCTGATTCTCAGAGCCCTGTAGTATACATTGCCTCATGTTAAAATCTGAAATGTTTCTGGCTCGGGGCATTTTTGACATTATCACTAAAATCTTTCCAACTATATGTCCATCTTGAAATCAACTCCTGCTTCTCCCAAGTAGGTTAGCTTCCCTAAAAATCCAGCTCTTTAATCCTCAGTCAGTCAGTTAAGTCACTCAGTCATGTCTGACTCTGCGACCCCATGGACTGTAGCACGCCAGGCTTCCCTGTCCATCACCAACTCCCGGAGCTTGCTCAAACTCAAGTTCATTTGAGTCGGTGATGCCATCCAACCATCTCATCTTCTGTCGTCCCCTTCTCCTCCTGCATTCAATCCTGCCCAGCATCAGGGTCTTTTCCAATGGGTCATTTCTTTGTATCAGGTAGCCAAAGTATTGGAGCTTTAGCTTTAGCATCAGTCTTTCCAATGAATATTAAGGGTTGATTTCCTTTAGGATGGACTGGTTGGATCTCCTTGCAGTCCAAGGGACTCTCAAGAGTCTTCTCCAACACCACAGTTCAAAAGCATCAATTCTTTGGCACTCAGCTGTCTTTATAGTCCAACTCTCACATCCACACATGACTACTGGAAAAACAATAGCCTTGACTAGACGGACCTTTGTTGGCAAAGTAATGTCTCTGCTTTTTAATATGCTGTCTAGGTTGGTCACAACTTTCAAGGAGTAAGCATCTTTTAATTTCATGGCTGGAGTCACCATCTGCAGTGATTTTGGAGCCCCAAAAAATAAAGTCAGCCACTGTTTCCACTGTTTCCCCATCTATTTGCCATGAAGTGATGGGACCGGATGCCATGATCTTAGTTTTCTGAATATTGAGTTTTAAGCCAATTTTTTCACTCTCCACTTTCACTTTCATCAAGAGGCTCTTTAGCTCTTCTTTGCTTTTTGCCATAAGGGTGGTGTCATCTGTATATCTGAGGTTATTGATATTTCTCCCCGCAATCTTGATTCCAGCTTGTACTTCATCCAGCCTGGCATTTAGCATGATGTGCTCTGCATATAAATTAAATAAGCAGGGTGACAATATACAGCCTTGACACACTCCTTTCCCGATGTGGAACCAGTCTGTTGTTCCTCTAATCCTAGTCGAGTTTAAACTGTTGAGTAAGGCTCTCTTCCTTTCCCCCTGGCTGGCTCCCAACTGCATGTCACCACTGGTGTTATCTTAAACCCTCTCCCTTCTCAAGACCCTGTGCTTGACTTCACCTTTCCTTCCTTGCAGTTGATAATTGTGGTTCATAGTTTAACAATGACACAGATCACGTGACAGAAACACCTACATTTTCCCTCTCCTCCATTGTCGCAAATCTGCTTCTTTATGCTGCTTCCTATTCTTCGTGAATCAGAGAAAGATGCTGCATTCTTTATCCCAATGCGGGGGAAAAAAAAATATAATGCTCAGAACTGAGACACAGAGGAGTCATCAGACCTGAGATGTATTGACTTGGGCAAATTATTTTCCCATCCCCAGCGGGGACAATTTTTTTCTACTCTGTAGGCATGCTGAGAAGATCAATGAGGATCATTCAGTAAACCCAGCACAGTGCCT